ATTGTCAGGACATGTGCTGAACCTTCTTCCAAAAATGATGGGAACTGGAATGTGCCAGTATATTCCGAATATGCAGCGTCTCCTTCCCAAGAACCAATGAAAGTCGAGTCAAGCCAGACAGAGAATCCGAATGCTGATCCTCCTTGGACCTGAACCGAGAACGCCGTCTCGGTCCCAGTGGCATTCAAGTGTCCACGCCAGAGGATATTTCCAGTGTGGTATCCGTAGTCTCCAGCGAACAGAACAACAGGAGTGGTAGGCGTGGTCGGGTTGATGGTGGTAGTATGGTCAGCCACGGTCCATTTGGCGTCTGAATAATCAATTTTGATTTCTGGAAGACTGTCTGCAGTTTTCTGAAGCATGCGTTGGAATCCACATGGGTACGAATCAAACCAGAACATACCCAAACCAACAAAGACAGGTTGGGAAGCCTAACTTCGGGAAGATTGGCCGAGCGCTTCGCAGTCAAAGTGCCTTGAGGGGTCTTGCTTAATTTGAGGGCCTCCCCGTTGAAGGTAACGGATTTTTCGGAGGAGGCAGCAGGCGCGATGATCTCAAATGTCGCTGTACCGTTCAAATCGCCCTTGATGGCGAGTGTGCTATCTTTAACATCAACAGATCGAACCAAGTAACCTCCTTTGACAATGATAGGGTTCTCAGTACTGTAGCTCGCAAAGTTACCTGAGGTGGGGGGATGCAAGACCCAGAATTGGTAGGCATTGGTACGGTCTACGCCGAAAGTGGATGTTAGACCGGTGGAGAAAAATACCGTCACCTACCAAGAATGTACAGCAGAGTGGATCCAACTCGTACGACAGTTTGACCAGTGGTCGTAAACTGAAGTGCAAGGTGATTATCTCCAAATATCTTTTGCTTGATAGATCCAGATCCAGAAAGGACCTCAGCGGTTGGTGGCGTGCCGCTGAACGTGAAAGCGGTCTCGTGGAGCTCTCCGGCATTTCCATAGACGAGCAGGACATCCTTGCTATCAATGGTCACCCTATTTGACCTATGAGTACCACAGTATGACAAGAGAAAACGAAACGATACACACCAAGTGAGAATCTCGGCAGTGGAGTAAAGCACATTCGTAGAACCAGCAGCATAATCAACGACATGGATCTTAGAGTCCCTTCCGTTCAAAGTCAAGACGCCGCTAATTGTGGGGATAGTGAGGGTTCCAATGCTTGTAGCAACGGTGAGAGTGTACGTTTGCGGAGTGGTACTTGATGCGTCGGTCTGCCTGAAAATAGGTTTTACAAGATGTGCCAGTGTTTTAACTCTTGTTGCTATGCAACTCACCTCACAATATAGAAACCAGTCTTGTTTCCAACGACATCAAGAATTTGCGTCGTTTTAAGAGCAGTATTTCCAGTAAAAGAACCTTGCGTGGCATAGATATTTTGGGGTCTACTAGTCAAGTATGCAGGTGTGACAGCGAGGAAACTGGCTTGTAGCTTGATCTCATAATATTTTTCGCGGAGAGTCCTGTCCTCCGCAATGGCTGAGCCCTTTTAAGTGTAAGTCAAATTTCCACCGTCAACATGACCAATACTTACATAGTCGTATGATGTGTAGACACCTGTGATCTCCAGTGAACATGAGACAGATACAATGAGCAGATAAAACAAACCTGGATGTCCTATACCTCCTACCAGTGAAATTTCGAAGTCAGATCCACTCAACTTAAATGGATTCATGGCATACCCCAATTTGTACCACCGAAAATCATGTAAAGATTCAGTATCGTCGTCGACAAAGCCAATTGGCTTTTGTAGAACACTCAAAAGCTGTCAGAAATGAATAAAAAGAATCCTTAGATTTACCTCGCTCGAACTCGGGACCAAGGCGTGTAGCGCAACCCTCATATCCTGCACCACCCCTGAACGTAGATCAGTTTTAGACAACCCATCTCAAGTGCGGACTTGCAGCTTACCACGGATCGAAAGCACCGCCTTGGTACTCCCAAACAGCGTTTGGAGCTTGTGGGTTGATGTCCAAATGAGAGCCCCAGAAATACCTCAAGAAACGTTGAGTTAAAGGCGGCATTGCAAATGAAAGCATACTCGGGGACAGCATCAGAAGCCCACACATACGGGTTTGCACAATCAAAGCCATTGGGATACGAGTCGTAACCTTGTGGAACGTCAGAGAAAAAGCGCGAAAACATTCGTAACCTTGTGTACCATAGATATCAACGCTCGTGAAATGACCTCCAGGCCAAGCATCATTGGTGGTGATAGGGACAGTTATACCGGAGGCCCTCTGTCAAATATAAGCTTTGGCTATAAGAGCTGGTTTTCAAACTCTCACAAATTGTTCAAGTAATATCTTCTCATACTCAAAATCTTCCGTATACGGCGCTTGAAATCCACTGTACTCGTTCTCAGCCTGAAGGTCGGTGAACCGTAGGTATACAACCGGAGATTTAGATTCGCACCTGAACCAGAATGACAGGACCCCCTTTGGTAATTTGATTTTCGGCAATTTTCGCGCCAATTGCTTTGATATATCCTGTCATTGCTTCAACGTAAGTAGCGTTCTGTGTTCTCCAGAGGCCTTCGGTGTGAGTTCCCCATCCGGGGAATCCACCACCCGAAGCTTCTGCATTAACGTACGGCCTGAACGGAACATCAGAATTCGATAGTTAGTGGGAAGTGGCCCAATCGTACCCAGGACGCGCTATGAGATAGATTCCGGCCTCTTTAGCGGCATCAAAGAATGGCTGGAGATCTAGGAAGCCGTCAAAGGATATTTTATCGCGCTTATATTCGTGTAGTCCCCATAAGGTGTAGAAAGATACGGCGTTAAAACCTAGAGCTCTGCAATATACCGTTGACATCAACTTTATGTGCGTGGAAAGGTTAAATCTACTTGATCTTCTGAAGTATATCCAAGTACAGACTTTGGACCGGGTTTCTGTAGTTTCGTCGGTCGATTGATCGTCATGGATTCAAACCACATAGGATTTGACGAACCGGAACGGATGTACTTCACCACTGAGGATCATGACACGTTTCCCATTTATAAGAAGTGAGTACTCGTCCCAGGTGACCTGTAAAAATGCGGTGAATGCCATGTATGACTCATAGGCGAAAATTGTCGATGCTCACAATATCTTGAAGACCAGTACTCAGGCGGGGAACTAACTTGTTGGTTTGCATACCGCGATGCGTCTTTGCCAGCGCAGAGGCTGCACAAAGTAGCACCAGCGCTTTCGTGAGGAGTACCATGACTTTGTGAGTTCTCGGCGATTTTGCTGCTCACAGGTTCATCTTAGATGGTTATACATGAAATAATGACGTTCACGTGTCTCTTCATGAAGGGATATTTCAACGATTTCCTTTCTGAGTCGTCTTCTTAGACGACGAACGGTGCGAACCAAGAAGGAAGTTACTCGACCTAAGCAGAGGATACTTCGAGTCTCGGCGAAGAAGAAAGAACCAGACAGTGTCGAGTGTCCACAGGATGAAGTGCTTCGGGATAATGTCGTCGAAACATGGAGGATGAAGTTGGCACATACATGTGGATTGCAAACAGTATACGCAGGTGAAGCCAAGATGAATCCAATCGGCGAAGGGCAAGAAATGCGGGGGCGGTTGCATCCGGGTAAACATGGCATGTGAGTTGTGACAGGGTCATAGGTTTAAAGATTGAAGAAGCTTGAAGCCGCAGTTGTGGATGAATAACTGGACAAGATCCGACGAAGACTAACGACAAGCATATGCTGACAAAATCTAGAATATGCTCAAAAGTACATTTTCCAGTTGTTCCTCAGAGGATTTTCGTTTTTTACGACTTCGTGAGCCTTCTTCCGAGTTATCGCTCGGTCGCTTAGCGGTTTGAACTGCAGCTCCTCCCCCTTTTCGCGTTTCTTCTCCGCTCGTTTCTCTAATACATGAGCAAGTTCCACGTGATGGAGGTATTCTTGTTGCTCTTGTTTCGAACGAGACAATTCTACACGGAACTTGGCGGCATGTACAGGGGCCTCGTGGGTTATGAAAGATGCTGAAGTCAGTCTCATGGTTGGATAGTTATGATTTGGATTGAAACTCACCGACTTGCTCTGTCAGCATATTCCACTTGAACCTCGGGAAGTACTTCATTGTCCAGACGTCGTCGTGCCAACGTGTTCCCCTTTCCCCCCTAATCGGCTGCGCGTTAAGCATCTCAGCAACCTGTTGGGCGACCTTGTCCTTGAATTCGACTCAACCCTCGGTATAATGCACTTTTTTGTTGAGGTATATTTCTTCCGAAGATACGCACGCTTGAGATCTACATATCCAAAAAGAAAGTAAGTTGAGGTATACGGGGACATGAAACAGCCAGCGCACCCTCTTGTTGTAGATACACGCGTCCAACCTCTCCATGTGAACCCATGAGATGCTGTATCTTGCTCGGGTGCATCCCAGGTGGTATTCGTGAAATATATACGATCCCAGCCCTGCCTTGAATTTTCTTAAACTCCTCCAACGCTTCGCGCGTCAGCGGTTGAACTGTTTTCTCAGGCGGCCCAGAAACTCCCTGGCCATGGGGGTCCATGCCGTTGCTCAAGTCGCCTGGTTCAGGAAAGTTCTCTTCATCTGAGCTATGGTTTGTCTCTCGGTCAGAGGCATCAAAAGTTCCCAGTCGCCAAGTACCAGCTTCAAATTCGAAATGAGGAGTCCCACTACTACACTGCCACTGTCACTATCGGGTTCCACGGCCCGGATAGAGGCACGTCGCTATAGTAATTAGTGTACTAACAAAAGTCTGTTAGAAGTATAAGTATATCTATGCTATGATTTCACTTGATATTCTGATAACGTTCAGCTTCTTATTGTCAGTGTCAGATCCTGCCGCTTATATTATTAGTACGTCCACCCATGGTGTATTTTACCGATTCCCCCTAATAATCAGTCTCAGAGTTTTTGACCCCCGTCTTCCAGAATTTGAGGCATTAAGGTGAGACCACCTTAGCCATGTTTCTTCACGTCGAACCTTTCTCGAATAAAAGCAACTCCGACCTGCCTGGATCGAACAGGCGGCCTCAAGATATGCATCCAATTACAGTCTCGCGCTCTACCAACTGAGCTAAGGTCGGCTCTATATAGCTTTCAGATCAGAAGGTTTAAAAATTAAAAGCCCGTGGCGTGTCGGTTGCTACTATCTCGCACATCTATCCGGATGCGCTATGGACGATGTCGTCTGTATCCTAGATACCTACTCGCGCCTTTCATACCAACCTCCTTCTGGCCAGTACACAGTTGCTGCATCCTTCTACCTTCTTTCCGCCTTTTTACCACCCAAAGTAATAAGCATTGCGACCGGCACTAAATGTCTTCCTACCTCTCGATACCCATCAAAAGGGGAAGCTCTACACGACAGTCACGCTGAAGTTCTCGCACGGCGCGGCGCGATCCGCTGGTTTCTTCTCGAAATCCTGCGCTCCTCGTCGCATTGTCCTGGAGGATACAAGTCACCTTGGATCGAACGAAGGCTGAATGGCAGGCATGAACTCAAGGAAGGTGTGCAGATCTGTCTGTATATATCAACTCCTCCTTGTAAGACCGTGATTACCACCATCATTGGAATCGATATGTTCACTCTGCTTGTATCCGCGTCTTCAAGGTGGTGATGCATCTATGCGCGTTCTGGCATTGGGCCAGGATGAAGAAATGGCCGCCCTGAAAAACTCATTTGTGTTTGCTCCTCTGGGTGAGAACGAAGCTTCAAGAGGCCGCGATAACTATGCCCGCCTAGGCGTGCTTCGAACGAAACCTGGGCGTGCAGATTCGCCCCCGACAATGTGTATGACATGCAGCGATAAAATCGCTTCATGGAGCGTCCTAGGCTTTCAAGGTGCACTGGCGACGCGTTTCATTGAACCACTTTACATCTCCTCGATCGTTATAGGTGAGGTCCCACCTGATGTGCATGATATTGTAAGAGAAGATTGTGAGAGGGCACTGTGGAGGAGGATTGGGTCCGCTGGTGAGTCGGACTTGACTCTTGTAGAAGAAAACAAGGTCTTGCCCAACATCCTCACAGATTGGCCTCTTGGATACACCATTCATACTCCTACAATTATGTTTACTAGTCAACCCTTTGTCCACTCACGTACCGTGATCGAAACCACCCGACCTTCTAGTAGGTCTTGTAACGAAGGTGAGACCTTTTGGCTTTGATTGGCACCACAAGCATCTGACGGCCCTCGAAAAGCGTTATGCTGGGTAGCAGATACAACTACACAAGAGTTCTTGATCAATGGGGTCAAACGCGGTGTGCCTCCAAAGCACCGTTTTCGAGAGAAATCAAGGTACGAGCCACAACTATGAGCGAATGGCCAAGTACCGTGAACCCGCTCATTTCCTTATTCCAGACCATCATTGTCTAGAATGGCAATGCTCCATCTGTACAACCAGATTCTGGAAGCCGAGGGCCTTCAACCTCTGAAGTGAGTCGCTGCCCATTCAAAATCAGCTCTTTTTGACATATCCAGTCCATGTTCCACGTACTATGATGTGAAAATGTCCATGACAGATTACCAAGAGGCCAAAGAAAAACTCACTGGCAAAGACGGAGCATTCTCTGGTTGGGTTCGCAGTGGCGCAAAATGGCAGAGCTTTGACCTCGATCAAAGTATCGACAATCCCAAGACACAGTGTGATTCATAAAGCAAACCAGACTAGTCTTAGCGTCATGATACCGCGCACGAGGGTCCCGAATCTCCCCAATAGAGGATCAAAGTATCTCATCATGCGGCACCGTAAGCACTGGGGATTTAATTCCACTCCCCGACACACCTCGACATCATTGGAGGTGAGACTTCGACTTGTTGACGACATGCGTCCAGTCTTCCAATGAGCGGCACTCGAACTCTCGAGTGTAGAGGTGTAATTAGTATTAATGTAATTTATCTACTGCAGAGTAGCATCCTCCTTAAAAATCTTTCTATACGCCTCGCTAACTCTCTTCCAGTTAATCACAGTCCAAAATTGCTTTAACCATGCCTCCTTGCCCCAAACGCCATATCCTGCTGCCATCCACGCATGCTCGTGTACAGATAGGCAGAATAACGGGTAGAGTGTATCCCCAAGAGGGGAGAGTGTCTTAGACTTTTCAGGGAGCGGCCGAGCGGATTTATTGGAACTGCTGTGAAGTGTATCGGCCTTTTTTTGGAAGGCATCGGGTTCTTCGGCGCAAACGCTAGTGGAAGAGAGGAAGCGCGGGTGAAGAGCGCTAGGAGATGGGGGAGGTTGCTTCCCACCCGAAACACCAGACACAGGCGACGACGGAGAAGGAGAGGTGGGGGAAGTTGGTGAACCGGTTGGCGAACGCAAAGGTCGTATATCGTCCTCAAGGGCGGTAGCCATCTCCTCCTCGGTAGCACCCCACATCTCGGCATCCGACTGGGCGGTAAAATAAGCTGTACTCCGGTACAACAGGACGTCAGAATTAAGAGGAGGCGTTAATTCTACGCCGCCCATGTACGTGCGGGAACGGATAAGGAGTGTGCTGGGACCAAACGTGGGGATGATACCGAGTCGACCGTTTTGGTCGGTGACAAGCCACAACCAGCCGCTGCTAAACATACCCATGGCGGCGGCAGAGAAGGAGGACTTCAGTTGAATCATGGTGCCGTATTGTTTGCGAATGTTATCGGCCAAATGTCGAGACATTTCGTGTTGGTGGTTTTTCCATTCACCTTCCGTCGGAGGAGGCAGCTATGGTGGGCGTTGAGAATGAATGGACACTTATGAAGAGGTATACGGTACCAGCTGGTCCAAGAAGTAACTATTGTTCAAAGCAAGACTGGCATAGTTGAATGCCAGTGTTCGATTTCTAAAAGGCGCGGTGTTTAACACGGTCTGTGCAACACTTTCCACCGCTTCCGGAGAGCCTGCACATATGCTCAGGTGGTCCACAATTAAAAAGACGTGGTTGGGATTCACGTACCACGCACTTCCTCATCCAAGCGCTTCAACAATCCTTCTTGGTAGTCAATAGCGACTACTTTCAAGGCCTCGGGAGGCAAAAAATCACCAAGACCACCTTCAACTGGGTACGGCAGAGGGACCCGTTTGTGTATGCTTCGTGACATTCTCGAACGTAACTTGGAGCATAAAGCAGCCGAAGAGCATCTTTCAACACTTGAAGATGCTAACCGTAGGCCAAGGCTGCTCATTTTGTCGTAAAGAACGCGAACAGCTCAACGACCCGGCGATTGTTATTCTCGGCGTCAACTTTTTTTTCGGGAAACTGTTGGAATCTATTTGTGTGTGCTTGGCAAAAGCTTCCCGGCCCCCACGCGGTCGAGATTCCACGTTGCAACTGGCACGATACTGTCAAATGGCTCCCAAGTCGTCAACCCCAGCATCGACAAATGTCGTTCAAACTCTCTGGAAAGCGTACAGTGATCATACTTCCGACCGCTTGAAATTCATAGACGCGTTTCTTTTCTTCTTGATGCTGTCGGGCATTGCGCAGTTCCTGTACTGCATCTTGGTAACGGACTATCCTTTCAATGCTTTCCTGGCTGGGTGAGCTGGCATACAGATCTTCATACGTTTCATTACCGACGATGTGCCTCAGCTTTGCGAGCACTGTTGGCCAATTCGTTCTGACCGCTTCACTGCGGTCGCAAGTCAACCCAGAGAACAAGAATGAATTCAAAGAAATCTCTCCAGAAAGGTATGCAATTCTGTATACTTAAAACACAACACCTGAATCAACGAAATGTAATAGAGCATTTGGAGACTTCGCGCTGGGCTCCATCGTATTGCACTTCTTCGTGTACAACTTCCTCGGGTAGTAGCCGTGCCGACTGTATCATATACCATAGACCAGGATCTACAAAGACCAGTCTTGAGTCCTTCTGAGGCGAATCATGGCAAAGCAAAGTGGGGGCTGCGCAGTATTTTGCAAAAGAAGACTACGGTCTCATAGCTTTTCACTGTTTCCGTTCGAATGAGGACGAGCGCTGCGCAATGTTCAGTCAACAGTCGGAAAGAGGGTAAGCCAGACGCACCCCGCAGATAACGATTGCGAAATCAAACATATATTCTCCTGTGCTACATGAGAATGATGGAAGAAAGTACTTGCTGAGAACCCTAGGTACCTAATTCCAGATAAGACCGGAGTAGTTCTGGACGTTGGTGAGCAGAGAGAACAGATCGAAGAACGTGCGTACTTACGGCGAACATCTTTGTTGGGAATTTGTCCAAGTGCCGGACTGATATATATAACATGAGAGGTATGGAACAAGAGATCAAGGGAGAGGGCGCGCACGTCAGGCTGGTTGTGCGCCTAATTCCTGCCAGAAAGGCACTGATAAGAAGGGCATCGAGGCCGAGGTGGACTGAAGGTTGGTGGTTATGAGATGCAGTGAGTAGCAGAGGTTAGGTAGCATGCCTAGTTTGCCAAACATAGTGAACTAACGAGTACACTATATGAGAGTGCAGCAAGACGAGATGTGATCGAGCGCTAAACGTCGCTTGTTTCAGGATTGGTTACGTAACCAAGTGTGCACGTCAGGGCAGCAGTGGCCAACTGCTGGCCGCTGATAACGTTGACTCGCGGCTCCCCGCTGTTTGGCCAGTTCTCTCCCATTGTCCCCGCCAGCGGCCCCAACAATGTCCAGGCCACCTTCACCGCAACTGACGAACAAGAGCTACTTTTCTACCTCTCATGCTACAATTGAGCGATTTATACGCGAGGAAGCCTCTGACTGGGCCAGTGCTTTTACCCTCCTTGGTACGACTTTCAATTTTGCTTCTTGCCAGCATGTGGGACTTTACACCTGGATCTGCAGACACCATCGAGACATACTTTGACTCCCATGTCGATCTTCTCCAGCGGCGGCTGCAAAAGCACAGTGATAGGCTAAAGATGAAGGCAGAAGAAACAAAGTTCAAACTCAAAGACTTCTCTGGCGATGCGTTGGCAGAAAACTTTGACCGTGAATTCAAGAACTTCAAAGTCAAGGTGCGCGTCCTTTTTCTTGGCATATTGCAACGTAGCTTTGACGCGTAAATCCAACCACCAGGTGTCCACACGTATGACAAAGCTAGCAGCGTCGTGGCAGAGTGCCAAGGTCGTCCG